CCCCCCGGATTGACCACGGAGAATTTTATCTGGGCTCCTAAAAAGGTGGCTTGGGCTCCCAACTTTTGGTGAAAGGAGCCCAAAGGGCTCCTTAAAAATTTTCTTAGGCAACAGCCTTGTGTGAATGGTTCTGGGTTTAACTTCAGTTGGGAAATCTTGCACAATAAAAATATTATCTTTGTCAGCTGTGTTGTTTTTACTCATGCAGAGCTGCAACAATGACCTATCTCATTCTGAAGTACTATCAAGAGATTGAAACAGAGGACCTGGAACCTCTTCTGATCAGGAAAACCATTCCTATCTGTATGTCACAGTATGAAAGGACGTTTAAGACAACAAGGTACCTGTATCTGTTTATTTCTGTCTCAGTGTGTTGAAATAATATGCAATTTTGTGACAGGTGACCTACTAAATGTGTACCTGTTTCTGCTTCTTAAAGAATTGGTCTGTTTGTGGTTTTACATGTGCAATCAACAATTTTACGGTAGTCTATTTGTGATAGTCATTCCTGGGATTACATGTACAACTGTACTTGTGCAATTGTACATTTGATATTTGAAACTTTTTTTGAATTGCACTTGCATTTATACAATTACCTAATGTGTACTAATTTGTGCAAAAGATTGAGTTACATTTAAGAGGTGTTTATATTTTTACCATGGTCTACTTTCAGAATTCCAAAGGAGGATGTAGATGAAATTGTTCATTTTGAACACCAAGAGCATGAGGTTTGTTTGCATATGCTTCATTCAAAAGTTTAATATTAACAGTACTCTGCATGGTGCTTGACCAACCCTTAAGTTTTCCTTATCATTTGCAGTTGAAGTGAACAGGAGTATTTCTACTCCAGTTCACCTTAGTCAGATGGTTACCAATAAGTCTCTTTTTCCAAATGCATGTAGTTCGCCAGTACCTATTTATATGCAGCACTGAACAACGATGAAATAGTAAAGTTGCATTGCTCACGAACCCAACAACTAGATCCAAAGCGCAATTAACCCTCATGATTTCTTGCTCCATATTCCAGACAAGTGCACCATGCAAGGTTTCTGGGTCTCACACCAATATACATGTATATATATTTGATATAGTTTGGCTTCTCTACTTAAATAATGAACTAAGCAACTATTTTTCATTTCTCTAGCACATAGTTGTGGTGTGCGGAGGTAATTTCTACATGTTACCTGTCACAAACAGCAGAGGAAAATTCATATCAGTGCTGGATCTGGAGAGCCAGTTTGAGTGGATTACTGCAGATGCAAAACATTCTGATGGTGAGAAAAGTATTCTGTGTGAATACTAAATATTTTTTACTGCGTATACAATCAAGTAGGTGCTGATCGTCAGTTGCAAATAACAATGATCTACTTATGTCTTTGCTATTTGCAGGGTTAGTATGGGTCATGGGAAAGCAAGAAAGTCATGGAATTTTATAATTTCATTTTCCAGGCCTGGAAAGTCCTGAAATTGAAGTATGGGTCGTGGAAAGTCATGGACAAGCAATAAACTTTCTGAAAATGAACAGGCAAAAAATATCAAAAGTTGAAAAAGCAACAGACAAGTCAGAAAACAAGTTAATTCCAGTAAAAAAAATAATAAACACTAGCACGCATTTTATGCATCAGAATCTGGGAAAATACCTTAAATAATAGATTGTTTTGACAATACTTTGAGAACAACTGCTTAACATAGGTCATGGGAAAATGTCATGGAAAGTCATGGAATTTCAAAAGCTCAAAGGAGTGCGAACCTTGTATTGCTATTTTTACTTCTAACAACCTCACCCCTGGCTCTATTTTGTTTCAAACAATTTTGTAACACTGTTGCATTTGCAAACAAACATGTACAGTTACTAAAGACCAACCTGATGGCAGTGTACCAGCTCTTACAACATTACCTAGAACAGAATGGGCCAGAATCAGAAAGGAGTACTTCTCAGAGAGCCTTAATCAGCAGACTTTGGAAGCCATAGAGGAGGCCATGTTTCTGGTAAGACAATGCAGGATAGTGCACTGTAAGTTGCTTTCCTTATCTTTTAGATGTTGGTGGCATTTGGGCACTGAAAGTTTGCCTGTTTTATGTTAGAAAGGAGATTTGTACGTTTATTATTCTGATGTTAAGGGAGAATTTTTGAATGCTTGTTCGTGATGTAAGTTAAAGAAAATCAGAATTCTTGTAAAATCTCTAATTCTGCCTGAAAAGTAAATATACAACATTAATTTTAAGAAATTAGGCTTACATGTATGTTTGATGGATGTTATGTGGCCTCTGTGTCTATAAGTGAATATTGTTGAACTGTGGTATTAAAATTAATGTGGAATATCAGAAGAATTAAGGGGTTCAACTAGTAAGCACAGTATAAATAAACAATGAGCCTTCATCCAAGAATCAGCGTGTTGCAAGATTTATTTTGTATTTTGTTGATATACAAAACAAATACTTCAATTACTAGTTGGAACTTGTAATGCCTTTGTCAGAATTTAGCAGGTCGAAAATAAGATGAACTACAGTTGCTCTGAGTGTTTTCCATGAATTTGTTGTTTTGACCTTTTAGGTTATTCTGGAAGAAAAGTCGTTCACCGAGTTAACTGACCGTGCCAAGTATCTCCTTCATGGCGATGGCCGTAGTTTCTGGTTTGACAAAAGCTTCTGCTTAATAGTGTTTTCAGATGGTAAATGTGGAATCAATGCTGAGCATTCTTGGGCTGATGCACCGGTTGTTGGGCACATGTTGGAGTATGCTCTTACTTACGAGTAAGCTTGATCAATGTTTTACTATTTGTCAAAATTATGAGCAAGTTGCTCACTAAGTTTTGACGTAAAATCTTTCTAAAATGTGATCAATGAGTACATCTTATATCTAAGATTCTGTTAGAATGCAAAGGTTTTTCAAGAAAAGGGGTTGCCGTAGAAGAATTTTGAGGCTCTGTATACATGTTACCACCAGTTGTGGAGAGGATTGATCATGATATATGGTTTTGATATAATCAAGGCCTAAGGTAGCAATCTCTCAGAAGGAATTTCTTCAGTTCTTTAACAGTTTGACTATTAATAAACTTGATGATGGCCATAAGGGAAGCCAAGAGCTTGGTCTCTCATGGGGCCAGTCACCTGGCAACTGAGAAATGTCATTCCTGTTACATAATTTCAACAGCGACGATATGCTAAATTTAAGTTATTATGAGCAGTGCAATGCCTCTGGTACACATTTCTGAGGTCTGTTATGATACTTTTATTGGTCAAACAAATTCTTTTTAATGAGAAATTAGCTATTCTTAAAGAGGTTGTTGAGTGATGTTTTTCTTTTACTCTCTTGTCCATTAGGTACATTTATAGAACATACAATGACAAGGGTAAATGTACCCCCATTGGTGGGGCTCACAGAAGTTCAAGTCTAAGGACCCATAACCTTCAGAAGCCCTCCAGGCTATACTGGGATATAACTCCCAAACTAGCAGAGATTATTGAAAATGCCGTCAGGTTTGCTCAAAAGGTAGCTGCAGACTTCATTATTTTGTGCGGTTATAACTTTTATCTTCAAGGTAGCTTTAGGCTTTGGAAATCCCTTTAATTTTCCTACATATTTAGGGTGTGTTCCTTTGGGGTGATCTGGATCAGGATCAGCGATCCAAGGTCATTTGGATCATGCATGGCACATCAAAGGAACCGATGAATCTGTGACCAGAGTGGATTCGTCAGTTCCTTTGATGTGCCATAACCCGAGTGATCTTGGATCACTGATCCTGATCCAGATCACCCCAAAGGAATGCACCCTTAAATGACTTATCAGATCCTGCCCTCTCTAGCTCTCTTAATATATTGATGAGGTACACGAGGTTTGCACATAAATTATGTTTGTCATTAGTTTATAGCACTTATCAGGCTGTGCACATTAAAGTAACAACTAGGAAATGTTTCATTTGCATTCTAGAACAATGATGATGTTCAACACAAAGTGATAGTTCATGATGCATTTGGAAAAGGATTCATCAAAACTATGAGGGTGAGTTTAATGGTATTGAAACAATTTAAAACAGAAAAGTAACTTTTAGTAGATCTGTATGCACACTACTGTAAAGGTGTCAAAAATTCACTGAAAATGATGCTTTGATTTCAGTGTTCAGATTCAATGTCAACAAAGTTTCTCTGTCATTACTAGGGCCTCCACAGACTAGACATTTAGTTGTCAACTACAATTTTTTATCAGTAACTACAGTTGTAAATGTTATTGACAACTAAACGTGTCCAATGCGAGCATTCCACACATTGGAGTTTTAGTTGTTTATGTCTAAGTCAGGTCTGCAAGACCTTCAGAACTAACTTTCATTACCTATGATCTTTTTTTCTGACAGGTAAGCCCGGATGCATTTATACAGCTGGCCTTGCAAGTTGCTTACTACAGAGATTCTGGTGGAAGACACCCTCTTACTTATGAGTCCTCCATGACACGCCTGTATCTCCAAGGAAGGACAGAAACTGTTCGCAGTTTGACAATAGAGGCTAAGGATTTTGTGAGAGCATTTGTAGATGAAACAGTTTCTCCAGAAGAGAAATATAAACTGCTTGTCAAAGCTGCAGAGCTTCATGCCAAAATGTACAAGGACTGTATGAATGGGAAAGGCATTGACAGACATCTTTTTGCACTCTATGTAGTGTGTAGGGGGCAGGGATATGTGAGTATAAAAAAAATTATGAAAAAAACATCGAAAGAAACAAACTTATGTATATACATTTGTTCAATGAGCTAGGCACACTTACAGTGTATATAAGCTAACATATCATACATGTTTATTCAAATTCATATTCTACACATAAAAATAATAGAAAAGTGAACAAACAGACACCAAAAATATCATACAGTAGGCGCAATTCAGGGGTTTCAGTAACGTTTTCAGCAGGAGAGCAACTGGTTTTCACAGGCAGGCAGAACTTATTGGAACTGAACTTCTTTATAGGAAAAACTTTCCACTAGATGGTCAAACCAGGCGGGCAAAATCATCCTCACCGTCTGTCAATTTGCCCGGTGCTGGGCCCTTAAAGAAACCCCTGACAATTAACTACTTAAATTATGCAAACTGCCAGTTCTGAAAGTTAGTAATGGAATTGTGGCATTTTGGTGTGAAAATGTACAGAATTGAGCTGCTCACCCCCCACCAAAGATAACTTCCTTGGTGCAGTACCTCCTAGTTTTGATTTTGCTTTCAGCATAGGAGGAACCTAGACTGTTCACAACATAGTTCACAACTTAACTATTTGTGATGTATTTGTCATCAATTCCAGGAAAGTGAATTTCTGAAGAGTGCCTTGAGCCTTCCATGGACACTTTCAACTAGCCAGCAACCTCAACAACAAATGTCTGGTCAGCACTTTAGTGTTACAGAACCAGAACTTACGCATTTGGTAGGTTGTTTGTTTGTTTGTTTTTTTTCAGCTAGTAGTCTTTTTGTCTGTGACCGTGTACGTAGCTGGAACTAACAGTCAGATGTCATGCAGACATAATGACCAGTACAAGGCTGGGGGCTATTTTCTGTGAGAAATAAGATGTGGCTGACGACTGTTAAGTTTCCAAGAAACTTTCCCTCTTCATTACGGAAAAGATCTGTGTTTTAGGAAAAGATCTGTATGACCCCAAATGTTTCTTCCATCCCTCAAGGATCTTACATCAGCCATGTTAAATTATTTCAATTTTCGCTGTCTTTTCTTCAGAATGTCAATTTTCCCTGACTCAGAATAGACATGAACCTGACATGTAGTGGATTTGTTCTGTCAACAGATTTCTCCTGGAGGAGGATTTGGCCCTGTGGCTGACGATGGTTATGGTGTTTCCTACATGGTTCCTGATGATCACAGGATTTTCTTTCACATTTCTTCAAAGATTTCTTCGAAGCAGTCAAACTCTGATAGATTTGTCAAGTTGCTCTTTGAAAGCATGGCAGAGATTAAAGAACTTTTTGAAGCTGCCAAAGCAGTAAAGAGCAAGGAGTCAAGCCCACATTCTTAGTACAACATGAACTGTACTTTTAGCAGATTATAAAGTAGCAGAACCATCTGTGTATAGTATTTAAACAGTAGTGTACTTTGTCATGGGTCATGTGTGGTGCCTGATCTAAGATTTGTTGGATGTCTGAAGTCATACCTCCTTGTAAAAAATTACAGGTTCTAAGACACTGTTCACCAGGGGACGCTATCTTCCCATACCACGACCTCAAAAATCTGTAGTTGCACCTAAATACGAAGAAATCCTGTTGTCTTGGAGCTAAACAAATAGTTTTGTGATTATAACACCTGCCCTGCAGGGAGTCTGTTTCTCCCATGAGGAATGATTCGCTGTGAATGTAGGGTAGCAGAAACAGAATGCTTGCAGGACAGCTAACACTTTTTGTAAATCCCCAGTAGTTACAGCAACAGGAGCGTGGCTGTACCTATTATGGATCAATATCACCCTTAGTGCAATGTAGGTGTTATCCTTTGTTTCACCTACTTTACAACTATATTATAACAAATTATACAGGGGAAATACCAAATTGTACCAAGGGTGTTAAGCCAAAACATACCCACTTACTTGGTACCAGTAATTTATATGTACAGTGGAACCCTGTTAATTCAGTCACCAACGGGCCTGACAAAAATCTGGACATATTAATGGGGTGGCCTTATTTACTGAGCTTTAGTTTGCGGCAGAATAAAGTGGCCATTATGACGAGGTGGCCGTATTAATGGGGTGACCATAAGGTGGGGTGCCTCTGTACTTGTTTGATCTTTCTCTTCCTTGGAACCAGAGTTCTTTCAAATCACAAAACAAAGAAAGAGTCTAAATGGAAATCAGACATTGACAACAATTCACAAATATTTTGACATGTGCCCTGAAACTCCATTTTTATCTTAATTTTGTTCACTGGAGTAACAGGAACATTTTGTGACTTATCTTAACCTTGATGACTAACAACTAACAGCTATGCTGGTAGTTGATTTACTGTTCTCATGTGTTGAATCTGTTTTTCCCTCTGAAAAAATTGCTCGATAGTTAGAATGTAAAGTTGTGTTTTCAACACATCAAGTACATGTAAGGTGCGCAAAGTTATGAAAAGTACTGTGAAAGTGCTTTCACATATTAATTTTTTTTTATGAAACAACACTTGCTAGTATCATGATGTCACATGCCATTGTGTGACATCAAGCCAAAATTTTCAAATTTGAATATGCAAGTTGAAGATTTCCATAATTGAGAAGTGTTGCCAGTCAAAAGGCCACTTGCACTTAGATGTCATGTATTCTAAATCCTGCCTCGTCTTGGTGTCTTTCCTTGGTTTGAGCATAGTGTGCATAGTGTTGCCCAAAAACTGAGACCTAACCATCAAGCATCATGCTCCCTTTCACCTACGAAGTGCAAATGCACCAAGAGATGAGGCAGTTGATACAGAATTTATTATATCACTGAGAAAATTACTTCATTGTGATTGGTTGAGAGCAGGCCAATTTCCTGTTAATCTTTAATTTGCACATCAAATTGCTGTGTGCATGTTCATAAATTTCTTAGTCATATAATGAATGTGTAATCGTATGAGAGTTTGAGTAATGAGGGATTTACACTACTCGTGATATTTGAAAATTCTTTCAAGTTACACACACCTAAAGGCTTGTGCAGTTTTGAAAGAATTTTCGAACACCATGTGTAGTGTAAATCCTTAATTGCACTCACATTCCTACCCTTACCTATCCAATTCTGGTTAGAGTAGGTTGGGCTGGAGTAGGCTGCATTACCTCCAAGTGTAAGTACTAAGTAGCCTATTGAAAGTGAACTTTTGTGGCTCACTGGAGAAAAAAAGTCAATGTAATCTGAAGTGAAATTATTTAATATTTATTTTCAAAGACGTAACAAACTAAGCATATTATTTTATTCAGTTCAGTACTGGTTCTTGGTTAGAATCAAGTTCAAGTTGATGCAACTGTTTGTTACTGGCAAGAGTTTCATAATTGTCAGAATATTATTGTCAGAGTCCTGTTCTTTAGTTGCAGTTCCAATGTAGAATTTCTACCTTATTCCACGTTGAAAGACAATTATTTTGTGTATGACACAATAAAGCTTTGAATAAACATTTGAGGTTCCTATTCAGTGAGAAAAAACGTTACTAACTAAATGCCAGCTGTTGCAGACTTTAACTATTATAAAATTTGTTACAAGTAGAATTAAAATATTTTATTATTATGAGCACAGATTTCCCAGTAATGGCATCTTTTTGAACACCACTGGATGTCCATTAACCTAAAAATGATACAGCGGCCTTGCACTGTATGTCAAATATCCAGTCACAAGGGATTTCCATGAATCCAGAAAAACAGATTACGACCTGAGATCAGTAAACATGGCGAAATCCAAATGTTGAAGAATCCAGTTCGTTATCACAACTGAAAAGCACCACTCATAAACTGTACTATTATTCCTAATATGAATGCCATCTGTTATTGTTTCTTCTTTTCTTGCTTCATCTTTTTCTTCTCTTGTTTGGCTTTTACCCTATCATGGTTGGCCTTTAATATCCGGTAAATAAAGAACACTGAAACCAGAGAAGCAGAGGGTGTGAGTCAGCTGAACCTGTGTCAATATTCCCAGTTGACCATGACACCCAACAATGTTTCTAGCAACGCTGCAAGTCAAGGTCAAACGCAAATGCTTGAATGTAAGTCATGGTGCATTTATCCCTGCTATGTGATCACCTGGCCTCAGTTGTACAAAGGCAGGATAATGCTATCCACTAGATAAATATAATCACTATCCAGTGGATAAGCGTCAACAAAACAAACCATGCTATCCACTGGATAGTGATTTATGGGGTGGATAACATTATCTACCTTTCGAACAACCCAGGCCTGTAGTCTAGCTACTGTGTTCAAACAAGCCTTGCCATCTTGCAGTTATTGCTTTGAACACTGAAAAAACATCTGAGTGTCACAGTACTGGAAAGAGTGGTGCAGGAATGCATTCCTAGCAGTTGTGTTGAAAAACATTTCAAGCCAATGCAGGAATAAATTGATGATTGACTTTATCAGGAGTGTTCAGTGTACATTTATTTTAATTAATGGTTGTCACCATTTAGTGATGATGATTGACACAAGTCTTCAACCTTCTACCTTCTCTCCCGGACCACTGGGAAAAGAAGATTGTTTGTGCAATCCAAAATAATGCACACACTTGTAAGTACTTCATCAGTTGGCTTGATATCATAACATCTCGTCATGTTTACTGGTAACCCCAATCCTAACAATGGCCTCTTGGTTCCAAAACACTACAGGCATCTAATAACAGAAAGTAACTACGCAAATTGACGCAAAAAATAATCAATGAACATTTGAATGGCTAGTTTTTACCATTTTCAACTTTATGAAACAATTTCTGTAAGAACGTCGGTGCTAAATGATGCATTTCTATAACTTGATAGTTAATATAACAGAACTAGCACAACCTGTTGATGTAATGATGGCGTGGGCATCTACTAACTATGGCGTGGACAAAAAGAACGTCATTTTGATGCTCGAAATGAACATACGGCTTTCCTTTCTTTTTGTTTTGTTATGGTGTTTTCCAAAAGAAACAGAAAACATTTTCTCTTTCTGTTTCTCTTGAGTTACAGAAATGCTTGTGAAAGTTTGGGAGAACTCAAAAAAAGCTCTGAGCCAGTGGAAACACTTGCCTGCAGCTAGTGTTCCCACAGCACTTCTTGATCTCCCAAACTCCTACATGTACATCTAGATTTAACATGTAACATCTAGATCTTAAAGAAACATGAAAAATGTTTTCTATTTCTTAAATAGAAAACCTTTTTACATCAACACAAGTGGAAATATGGGAGAATTAGAAAAGCTGTGAGCACACAAGCTGTTTCTACAGCTTTTTTTTTGAGTTTCTCAACTTTTTCTGTGTTTCTAAATTCAAAGGAAATATTTTTTGCACGAACAAAAGGAAAATGACTTGTTTATTTCAGGCATAGTCAATCAAAAATAGATATCAGAATTCAGTTGATATCAATCGCTGATTGCTATCAATTGATTTTGGCAATCGATAACAATCAAACTCAAAGAAAAATTTATTTATCAATTGCTATCGATTGGGAAAAATTGATAACAATAGATAATTCCTGTCTTCAGGAATATCAATTGTTATCGCTTGAAATACAGAAACGACAATAACCACCTGGAATATTCAAAGATGGCTTTGTTATAGTGTAAAATAATACCTGGAACAATCTGAGACAGACATTCATCTTAAGGATTTTTGTTGACATGACATGATTTGTAAAAACTAAGAATTCAAAGTCCAGGTGGAGTGATCTCTTCTCTAGGTCTTCTAGGGTCTAAAGCAGGATCTTGGCAAGATATAAAGATGTAAAGCCCAAAATATTTTTGTTAGTTGTTTCTGTTCTTGTTGTTTTGTCAATGATTGTAAAAGATATGCAGGCTATGATAAAATGACTCAATAAAACCACTACAGACAAATTTTGTCAAACATTTTATCAGTGTTACTTGTAAAAGGACAAAAGCAATTTCCCATAACAATCAATAATAATCAATATCAATCGGTGAATCAATCGTTATCGATTATTATTGGCAATCGATCACAATTAAACTCACAATTTTTTTTATTGACTTTCATCAATTTCTATCGGCAATCTTTGATTGATATTGATTGTTATCGATTAATATCGATCATCGGTTTATCGATTGACTATGCCTGGTTTATTGTGATGATCAAAATATACATTCTCTCTGCTTGCACCATCAATACATCAACAACTGATGCTAATTCTGTATTTCTAAAGAGTTAAAGAAGTGTACCTTTCAGCAGCCACTGTTTTTAAGGGGAAAATCTGTTCAAGTGTTGCTTGAGAAAATAGCCATACACATGGCCTTCTGTAGGGCCATAAGGTGCGAGTCTACCATCTCTTAGGGAATTCCAGTTAATTAGCTTCTTACTTTAATCAGAATTTTCAGTGATCAAAATCTTTTTACTGACGCTACTGCGTGCTAAAATTGCAGATCATTCACCGGTTTTTGTCCGTAACAAAAGTTATCATAAGTTTTTTTCATTCAATATTATATTGCAAGGTTTTTAACACTGAGCTTTGTCACAAAAAATTAAATAAATAGAACAGCATGGACAAAACAAGAAGATACCGCGCACAAAATTTACCAAAATGCTCCTACATTTGGCTATTTTATGTTATGGAAATAGATGCATAGCTTATGTAGACTAAATGATTAGGGATAAGGCATTGTGACTTTTTCATGATCAGTAAGCTTATAAGAACGACCGATAGTAAAAACTGTTTCAACTTACCTACTAAAAGAAACAGAAGGGCTCCTGGTATAAGCAGAAGCTTTACGTCTACGGAAAATTTCTCATGGGACTTAGGGTCACTTAAATCAACCATCTTGAGAAAATAACATTAATAAATACTTCAGTTCAATGGAACGATCAAACGCTTACGTGGGAAAACTGGAGAAGTCCATGGAGTAGCTTAGGGACCTGGCCTGAAGTTCCTTCGAACTAACAGGTTAACGGGTTGAACGGAAACCATCTTTCACCTGGATGTGACTTGATGATTTCTCAGTAACAATTATTTAACTGCTTTCTTAAGGAAGAAAACCTTTTGTTTGATATAACTGGCTATGGCCATCCCTATATAGCCGGTGATTTCCTGAAAACCCTGCCAAAAGATGCAGAAGCGGCGCGCGGCGTAGAGGGGAAATTACTCAAAAAATAAAGTGGCCGATTCAATAACGGACATGTGAACAAATTCTCCAAATTCGTGAAAAATGTCGCACAATACTGATGAATAGTGCACACTTTTTTTAAACGTGTTTTCGCGAAAAAATATTTTTATGAACATCTGTGTACGCACTGCGTATCTATCTTTGACGAGATCAATAGGGTGCATTTAAGGTAATTCCATCGAAATAGAACTCACAATAGATTTTCTTTCAAACTTTGCTTGTTGGCTGCCTATATTAAGAGAACTTAAAATTTGAAATAAAAAAGGGGGGTCCCAATATTCGTTTAGGAGCAAGAGAACCTTCAATAAACCCCATAATTCCTGAAATTATCTGCTTTCAGAAACCTTTATATTTGAACCTTTCACCTTACGCATTAAGAGAGCAGAAAAATAGAGAGAAAGTTAAGCGAGAAATACAACAATTGATGTATTGCATAAACTGGTTAAGGAGCAATTTGATGTACGTTTCATGATAAGGGCACTCATATTTAGTTGTCAGGGGTACAATATGTACCAAGCATGCAGTGTTCTGGAGCCACATATTATCTTTTACGAGTGCTAGCTATGCTCTCATTTTCCGTGATAATTTTTTACTCTGCAATAGAAATTGGTCCATATTCACTGTATAGAAAGAATGTGATCTCTGCATTCAAACTATATAAAAAAATCGTTAGGTCCCGGTACTTGTTTCCGAGAAAAAACAACAATGATTTGTCTCTCACAAGCCAAGAGCCACGATTTTGTATCTGTTGTGTATGTGCACGCACTCGTGAGCGCGCGCTAATGACGCGAAAATCGTGCGCAGTAGGGATGCGCAATGCAATTCTGACGAATCACCTTAAGGACCTTCGCTCGAAAATTTTCCAGTCGATAGATTTTTTAAAATTTTTACGGCAGTCAGATAATGAATTCCTCGTGTCAAAAATGCAAAAAAAATTGGGGGTCACCGACTTCGTTTCAGAGATAAAGCGTGTGGAAAACTACCCTGATTTTGAAAAATTGGCGCACGTAATTCAGCATGGTCTACAGGGGTTTATAGTTAAAAATATCGAAGGTGAGTCAACGGAGGCAAACGACCTTAGTAATATTTTGTAGAAGTGGTTCTGTTGCGTAAATAATTCCAATTTTACCAACGTTTTCACAAAACTTAGCCCTTCAAGAGGCAATTGAAACCGTCGCACAGATAAACGAAGAGCTACAAAGAACGGAATTCGATGGGGCATTTTGCAAAAAATTCAAACTTCTAGTCGATAGATTTTCTTTATTTTTTCGCCAAACGTAGAAAATCGGTAGAGAAAATGATCCATCAAAAGAAAAGTAGGGGTCACCATAGGTCCAAGATCGTTTAATCCAGGCAAAGCTATAGCAATGGCCATCTGCCCTATCATTGTTCATGTTATTACTTAGCGCGCGCTCTCATGCATGACGTGGCGAGTGACTTTGCGTGCACAGTAAGGATGCGCAGAAACAATTAGCGCGAACGTCCTCAAGGTGGCTCCATATGGTAATCATTTATGGCGTTGCGCGCACAAGTGTTATGTTTTGAATGCTGTTTTTGCATTCGCTTTCACACCCAGTCCTTTCAAACTTATTACATGTAATAACGAATGATTAAATAGTATTTTGCTATCATTTGGGCTTTAGTCTTGAATTACAAATGCCCAAACAAATGTGCTTTTTACTGTTTGTGTGGCTTTATTTGTGATTTTCTTGAATTTTCTTCGGTGAAATCTTCCAAAATTTTTACAACACGTCGCTTCCAGCGGGATACGAATTTCAAACACGAAAACAGTAGGGTTTGTAAAGGCAGTTTTTTCAATTTTTTTCAAATTTATGTCTTTTACCGCTGCAAAAAATCTGGTCTTATAGATTTCTCTGAAAAACGAGCTCCGACTAAAGTAAAATATTTACTACCAATCTGCCAAATTTTACGGAATTTCACTGAGGGAAACGCGAGAAAATTCACTGTCAGTTTTGCTTAAATTCACTCTCGACCCCAGACCCTTCGCTTTCTTGATCTCGCTGTCCGTCATGCGCAAAAGAGAACAGCTCTAGGGTAGAGAATGCCTTAAATTCTTTTGCCGGCTCTTTCAGCGCGCTCTTTCTCAATCTCAAGTTTGCAAGAAAGCAGATTGAGTGTCTGTTGTAGAAACGCACAGTATCATGGCAGAAGTTAAAATCTTCAGCACAGGGGAAGACTGCAAGTCGTCTTGGAGGGACGCAGGAGCAAAATACGATAAGACAGACGAGCATTTGGAAATCATGGGAAAACCAGTTATGGAGAGATGGGAAACCCCGTACATGCATAAATTGGCTTCGATAGCAGCGTCGAAAGGCGGCCGTGTTCTGGAACTCGGCTTTGGAATGGCAATTTCGGCGACAAAAATCCAGTCTTTTCCTGTAGATGAACACGTCATAGTTGAATGCAACGACGATGTGTTCAAACGGCTTGAAGTGTTTTCTAAAGAAGCCAAGCAGAAAGTGACTCCGTTGAAAGGTAGGGTAATTCAAGCATTGCAAGCGAACGGTATCCGGTCACTTCGCTCCATGGTCATTTCGCCTCCGGTCACTTCGCCCCAACCAAAAGTCACTTCGCCCCATAACCGAGGTCACCTTGCCCTATAAAAAAGTCACTTCACCCCATACGGAAGTTACTTCGCTCCATGATATAATTAACGTGCTTTTATTATGTTATTTTAAACTCCTAGTATAGTTCCACTGTTTAAGGAGTATACTTATTAAAGATTAAAGTGTATATATGATTACAATATTGTCTCTATTTGCCTAACTGATGTTATAGTCGGCCCATTCATAAATACGATGTGGATGACATGTTTGTTAGTTTCACTCGCCCTAATCTCTCTCTGTCCCCCACGCCATGCTGATGTTGTTGATGCGCTCGTTGATCGATGGCCGATCGAATTTCAAAAACTGTAACCCTCTAGAGTATGAATTGCTTGTAAAAACCTTGTTTTTAAACATGTTCGTGGTTAAAGAACTTAAAAAGCGATCAAGATCTTGGCGTAGTTATAGTACGATCGTGTCTAAATATCTTTGTTTGATTACGCGCGTTGTTTAGTGTTCACTTGTAGCACTTACATAGCAACAAAGTCAAACGAAGTCCGTGGATCGATCGATGGCCGATCGTATGCGAACATTTTTGAAAACCATCCAGCGGCTTTTACCCTGTAAAGTTTCAACCGCCTGTAAAACTCTTTCTGTCATATTTGACCTGAATGTATTTCATTTATTGCGAGTGTAGTTGCACAGAACTTCTGTTAATGAAGACTGTATTGTTGTTTTCTTGCCACGCGTAATGTGTGAACTTATGTTAATTTTTTTTGGCACAACACGTCAATCTTTCAACGGACTTGTTTATTCGAAAATTCGGAATATGACCTTAACCTTAACTATTTGTGTTACCTTAAAAGATTCTCTATCACCCTTGGATAAGTGAACTTGCAATGTAACGCCTTAAAATGCTTTTAGTTTTCCAGTACAACCCTAACCCTAAGCCAACAAACGGGCAGCCAAGCGGTTGCTGAAAGCCTGCTCTTACCTGAATGCACCAAGGGACTAGGCCGATAAACCAACCAAACAAAAAAACAAGCGGCTCCTCTAGGAGCCACCAAATAAAATAAAAGCAATGATCAACAATGCAATACATAGAATACAGAAAAAAGAAATTAAAACATGACAATTGTTTTGATAAAATAAAATCCTAGAAAAAGCCGAATAACTTATGCAAACTTATCTTTATTGAAACTCGTAATTTTTTCCCAAAGCTCCCTTGTCTAAAATTATTGTTTAAAGTAAAAGAACAAGAACAGAGCAAAAGACAAGCAGTGTTTCATCGCTGTTAAGTCCTGAAATTTGAAGCGTACATCATTGCTGTGTTGTTCAAGTTCCCATGCATTAATGGGGTTTTGAGGGATTACAACGGATAAGAATTCGTGTTGAGGAAAGTAATTGAACGAAATGATATTTAGTGTATTTTGAGGGATTACAACGTATAAGAATTTGTGATGAGGAAAGTAATCAAACGAAATGATATTTAGTGTTACCAAGCGTATTTAAGCGAACGTGACTGGAAGCTGCATTAGTTAATAATCTGAATTGACATAAGTCTTAAGTTCAAAATCAGTCCAACTCCAACATCAAAACAAAAAAATTCACAACAAATTTCATTAATTTCTTACATGGAGCAAAGTAACTTCTGTATGGGGCAAAGTGACTTTTGTATGGGGCGAAGTGACTTCGATTATGGGGCGAAGTGACTTTTGGTTGGGGTGAAATGACCATGGGGCGAAGTGACCATAATTCAAGCGAACACACTAAACCTGTGAAAAATATTGTGACTTGTAGAATTGCGGTGAATTATTTGTGCAAAACCTTTTGTCAATTATCGTTTTTTTTTTTTTTTTTTTTATAGAACCATACTTATTTATTATTTGAAGAGTTCTCTTTTTATCTGAGGCCCCCCTGCTTGGAAAAGCAGATGCAGGTTGCTTGCCATGAGTCACACACAATTTTACACTGCAGAGAATGAGTGAAGTCTGCGACCGCTAGGCCTTTCCACAAATATGCGGTAATTTTTTTTGGATATTTAGAAGTTTCCGAGATATTAAAATATTTAGAAAGTTTAGAGATATAAATTTGGAAATATTCATAACTTTGGATTATGTGTACTAAAGGCATACTCGATCGACTCGATTGATATCTCGATCAACACTTGATCAACATCTCTCGATGGATACTCGGTCGACACTAGGTCGAAACTCGATCAACATCTTGATTAACACCCAATTGACATACAGCTGTCAGTGTCAACTGACTCATATGTATTGATTGACACTCAATCGCCTGTCTGCAAACATTAGCCGACTCTCGACTGGCGTTGGACTGAGATGTCCATCGAGTGTCATCTGATGTGCTGATTGAGTCTTGATCAAGAGTCGATCGAGGGTCAATCAAAAGTTGATTGAGGGTCGACCAAGGGTATTGATCGACACTTGACCGTAGATGCCTTTAGTACACATGATCCGAATGGCTTAGCCTTGTGTTGTCCTCGCTGTTTTCTTGATACAGTACTCTCTTCTGTGCCAGAGACAATCCAGTTCAGTGATTGCCCTCTTGAAAAAATGTATTCCATATCACTAAAAGGGCTAAGGCTTCAATTTTCCAAGAAGATCGATGCTGGTAACATTGAAGTGCCTGAATTTTCTTCCTCATCTCCTACTACTCCAAGAAATTTTGCCCCAAGTAATTCAAAATTGTTGTATTTTTATGACAAAAATAAGAGATTTTTATAAAAAGTGTTTTATAATAAGATATTTAGAAACATTTTGTGATATTTAGCAGATCTTTTGGGAATTTCTGGAAAGATATGTGGGTGATTTTACATGATATTTGTGGAAAGGCCTAGCAACAGTGGAGGGGAAGGGTTTGCTAGGGCTACAGTCCAACCAATAGTAGTAGGATATTGGATATTGTCATCCAGCCCATATGTTTAGTTTATGTACGTGTAATGAAAGAGCACTATTTCCACAGGCTTGTGGGAAGATGTGGTTCCTAGCCTAGACGATGGTTCATTTGATGGCATCCTGTATGACACATATCCATTGTCAGAGGAGACGTGGCACACACATCAGTTCCTGTTTATCAGGGATCACGCGTTCCGACTCCTCAAACCCGGAGGGGTACTGACATATTGTAACCTCACTTCATGGGGAGAGTTGCTAAAGACAAAATACGATGATATCCAGAAGATGTTTGTGGAAACACAAGTCCCTGAGTTACTGAAGAGTGGATTTCTAAAAGAGAACATATCAACAGAAATCATCGAAGTTGATGTACCTCCTGACTGCCGCTACTACAGCCACAAGAAAATGATTGCTCCTATCATTGTAAAGAAGTAGAAAAGCTACTCTTATGCTCACATGAATTGGCAGGGTGTGCTGTAGTACTAGGAATTTGGATGCCATAAACCTTTAGAATTGTTTATATTTTTCACATCTTTTTGCTGAAGCTTTGACAACATGTCTAAAGAGCACTTTAGTGTGTTTTATTAAAGGTCCATAAGAAAAAAATGGATATATTTATATATATGACTGATTTTTGAGAAGGCTCTGAGCTACAGAAATGCATGCATTTCAGTGTTCCATCTTCTGCCTAGGGTTATATGGAATTTACAAATGGATTTCAATCCACTAGGCCACTGGTCAGTACAGGTGGAGATTAACATGTGTACTTTCTCTCACCTCACTAAGTAGATTTCTTCACCAACTCACTTAAAACTCTGCCAAAAGAGTGTTTGTTCCACATACCACATCAATTTAATGTAGATGTAAGGGATCATGTGTACTATAGGAATACATGATCGAGTGCCGATCAATACCCTCAATCAACACTCCATCAACCCTCGATTGACACTCCATTGACACCTTAGTTAAACTGACACTCCATCTACACTTGATCGACATCTCTGTCGACAGTTGGGGAGTCAACCAATTTTTGATTGATGCATCTTAGTTGGTCGACACTCAACCGATTATCGACCGACTGTTGATCAAGTGTTGATTGAGTTTCGACCGAGTATCGATTGGGATGTTGATGGAGTATTGATCGAGATGTCAATCTAGTCTAGGGTATAGATCAACACTCCACTGGGGAGGTCTTTAGTACACATGATCCGATGCAAGTGTGTATTTAAAGACTCTCATATGTGATTTACATACATTTACCACCAGGACATGAACCAATCCCAATTCTTAACCTGAGCACACAAGTCCTAAATGGCCTACCTTCATCTGCTCAGTCAACATTATTTCAATATTAAAGAACAAAACAGAGGCAATAAAAAAGGTGTATTACATAGTACTTGAATAAGCCATTACTGAGTTGCCTTGGGCCTCTGTTTCAAAATGAGTCTTTGTGCAAAACCTTTTGAATGTATGAAAATGAGTTTGATTTGCATGAAAATGAACATGTAGGCCAAATACATTTCCATAGGAATGGTTTTGCATGAAGACTCGTTTTGACACAGAGACAAAAGTTCACTCAGAAGTGGCTTATTACGCATGTCATCATACTCTATACTGATGTCAAATGTGGGATAGAAAGGAACACATCTTACTGGTTGCCATTATAAGCACTGCGTCAGACATTGTGCTGTGGTAGAGTTCAATGTTTGTTGTGTTTTGGAAAAATTGTTATAAGTAAAATTACAATTTGCTCTCCCTTCAACAATTTACCTACATTGTATAGGCAATATCTTTATCTTGGTGTTCTGGGAGCATTTCCTGTGTGAGCAAAGGTACTTAGTCACAATTTTAGAACTGCTGTGACCAAAAACTGTGGCAAAATCACTGATGCTGTTCCTTCGAGGATTAGTGGTTTGTCAGTATCAATAATTCTTTTTCTGCAGCATGAAGTGACAAAAGGAGCATTGACACTCCTCCAAACTCATTCCCACTGAAGGCAAAGTGACTGTTGCAGGTTTGATTGTGCCATGTTGGGTAAATTGCTTCACTCTTGAACATTAAATTTGTCTTTCAAGAGCTCGAAGAGAAAATCTATTGTCAACCTTACATCCTACCTATTTGCCCAAGAAAAAACTGTCCTTTACAAGATACTTCAATACTTAGAATGATATTCTACTCAAGATGCCTCCAACAGTTACATTATGGTGCTTTTGTGTAGACAGAAGGCAGTTGGGAAGATACTCAAACCACACCCAATGAAATAAGGTGAATTTGATCTTGGTAAATTGAATAGAATAGATACCTTAAGTTTATTTATACACAGTAAAAACATCTGGCCTTTATTACAAAACTTGAATTACATTCTAATACCATTTAAGTAAATGCCTACCTTCCCAATGACCAATACAGGGAGCCCAGACAGTATGTGCCTTATACTGTATTGGTAACAGCAGTCACCTTGGCATACGCCATTTCTCATTTAAATTCTCAGTACATGAAGAGTATGAAGAATATATAGTCTGGATAGAAGACAGTCTGGTTGGTGAAACAGAAGAATGGAGTCCAGTTTACTTAAATTTCTAAGTAAAACGTTATTTGAATGGTGGCACTTGAAATTTGTGTGAAAAATTGGTATTCAGGTTGTCTGTCGGTACTCCCTCAAATCTCAATGATTTGCTTCTTGAATTAAGATTAATTGGATGCAACCAAGAGCTAGTAACAGTTTCCAGGACTTTCCAGCAGTTACAAAGTGATGTTACAATTGGTATTACAAATGCCCAATAATTGGTGAATAAGTTCTAGGGTACTTACCATCTACATGGGAAAACCGGAAATTCCAGTTGCAAAATCAAATGGTTCGCGCCATTCCGTTTGGGAAGCTTCAGAAAATATGGGCTGTGGTTTGAGGTGATGCTATTTTTCTGCTGTTTCAAGTCTCTCTAGCTGATGTGGATATACTTTATAGCGATTCCCTCTCCCGCAATGTTCAATTTCATTGTTTAATGTTTATGCCTGAAATTTCCAACAGGATGGTTTTTAGTGCAGAGTGCACTATTGGGATGGTTATGGGGGTTGCCTGCCGCTAAGGAACTAAGGCGCTATGACGCTATGGCACTATGGCCCTATGGCGCCAAGGTGTAAACTTTAATGTTTGTTTAATTGATTAATTTCAATTAATTAATTAGTCTAGAGGCAAGGAAGTAATGGGAGTAGGGTGGGAAAGGTACATGTGTACTCTACGTAAAACACATTCCATCGCCG